CCCCCCCCCCCCCCGTCTCGATTCGACGGGGGAAAAAAAGAACGTGTGCCACAAGCCTGCCTCTGCCACACCGAGCGCGAAAAAGATCGAGTCAGCTCAGTTCACCTGAGCTTTGCAGACTCCACACAACACGACCACCCGGACCCACAGCGACCCGATGCTATCATGCTATCGGTCTATCTCGACAGGCTACCCCCCCCCTCATTGCTTAACCGACCCGCTTGGGGGGGACGCCTTCCCACAGGACCCATAAAGGCGCTTCCGATGCCGACCCCCTCCCCCCCTCTCTCTCTTACTTTCACACCCCTGGGGCCCCTGACGACACCACACTCCGGCCGGTGGTGACAGCCAATCGGTTCAACAACAACAACCCCCGCACCAAAAAGCTTCCAAATGAAATGGAACCACATTGTGTCCCGTATTGGCGAGTCATGGCCGACGTAAGGTCAAAGCCACTGCACCGCCAAACAAGCTATACCACGGAGAAGATCGACCTTGCTTGGAAAACCAAAACGTCGTGGAACGGAAAAAATGCAGAACAAAGACTATATCCTCAACTCCCGAAGAAGCAGAGCACTTCCTTCGTATTATTTGCTCTTGTTTTTTTATCATGCAACGGCAATGGGGGCCGACTTAATCAGATGCAATAAATAGTCGTTTGCACGGAAAGCATCTATGGCGTGGTCCGGAAGGAAAACACGCCCCCGCTGCCACCGCCGCTGTTGTGATACAAAATGCATCTAGGTTAACGACGACAAGGCATTGTCTGTTGCGGCCATGCACCGCGGTCATCAAATCACCTACTATAATATAGCTTGAATCTCGGCCCTTCCAAACACAAACAAGCCTCATCTACAGGCGAGAGACTCAAGCGTCAAGTAACGCCCCCCCCCGCCTCGGCGTTCCATCAAACATCCAGACCTACCTACCTGCCCTGTCATACGGACTGCAAACCAAACACCCCAAAAGAACTGAAAACTCGGTGGTGGAACATGCGGTCAGCTCTCTGGTCATGCCGCCGCAGCCTTGGCGACCTTAGTAGTGGCCGACTCCACTCCCCCCTTTCCCAGACGGTGGCACCAGTCTCCGAACGCCTCCGGGTAACCCTTTCCGGGGGCGTTCTGTCGGGTTGCCTTGTACGCGCTGCCAAAGCAAACGCACATGAAAAAAAAAAAAAAAATGCCATGAGGTCGAGAAAGCACGGAGGAGGTGGCGCGGGGGAGGGGCAGAGATCAAGTACTTGGAAATCCACGGGGGTTGGGGTGGGGCGAGGAGTTCTTCACGGTTGCTAAGAGGTGACGCGTTGAAGGTCGCGCGGTAGTGTCCAATTCAACAAACAAGGTTCTGAGTGCCCCGAGAGACAAAACAACGCAACCAACCAGCCCAAGCAAATGAGACCGTGGCGCCCTTGCAACGTTCAAAACAAAAACTCGGGAGTTCAAACCCCAAGGAAAAGGAGTTAAGTACTCCCGCTTTCGCCCCCACATTTCAACAACGTGCAATTATGGTGTGCTTGTTCGTGAAAGCAATACTCTGGGAGGAAAAAAATTCTCTTAGCGTTGAGCTCATGATAGAACTCACCGCCGAGCAAGCAACCAAGGCCGAAATATTCAAAATATTCTTGGCGGAGGACAGTCGGACAGTCGACAGCGATGAGCGATACCAGTGGATACCAACGGCATGCGTGCGCGTATGCGTGCCGCCCCCGTTTGTTCCGGATGCCAGTCTTCATGACCTATTGCGCTCTTTCGGTTTACTTTCTGGACGCACCACCATCGGCCGGGGGTCAAGCACAAGAAAAAATGCCATGCCTTCCGCCTACGGTGCTCCAGCTTTACTCTTTCAGAAAATATGATGTACTTCCCATCCGACAAAGACTACCCGCTCGAGAAACAACCACAGCAGTAGTCGAAGGGGGTGGACGGGTGTACAATAGAAGTGTTCACAGCTTGCCGTGACGAGCATGACATGCACCAAAAGAAACCTCAACGCTCAAGATTTAGGTGAGAAATTTTCGAGGCAACAACACAATCCAATTCCGAGAGCAACAAAATCGGCGAAAGAACAGAGAACGCCTGCTCACGTGAGGATGGGCTCGACGGTGTCCTCCATCACGGTGTCCTTCATCCGGTTCGTGTAGATGTACGCCGTCCGAGTGTTGCCGGGGCTTCCGCCGAGCCACACCTGTCTCCGCCCGGGAACAACCACACAAGAGGCCACGCCAAGACGGGCAAGCCAGGCGACAACAACAACAACAACAACAGCACGGCTTAGGGGTCGAACGAAGGCTTTCCCACGTAAAAGTGGGCACGCAAGATGGTCGAGGCAACAACAAAAACACCAACAACAAGATCGCTCAACGAGCGAAGGAAAACTTGCACGAGGCACGAGAGGACGCGTACGGTATTAACACCACAACAAAGCGACATAAAAGTCGCTACCAAACCAAAGTTCGCACCAAAAACACGGGCGGCACCATAAGCAAGCACCGAATTTCAGAGCGGTCCTTTCGTTCGCCTCAACACACCTGGTACGAGTCAGGCCCGTCTCCGACGAATGCGAGCTCGGCCATGTAGGGCCGCGCGCACCCGTTAGGGCAGCCCGTCATTCGAACCATCACCTCCTCGTCCCCCAGCCCCACCCTGGCAACATATGTGTGAGAGGGGCGAAATTAAGGTGAAGGCAGGCAGACGGAAGGCTAAACCCAGGCAAAAAAAAAAAACATTAGAATGAAACGATTTCCGACCCACGATAGCGAGACATCCGTCTCTGTTCTTCAAAACAGCGAAATCTTCCGGCACACGAAAACAGCTTGTAAGATTACTCCTGCAGCACGCACACGACTGACTCACTTGTCGAGCATGGCGCGGATGCGTTCCACGTAAGACGGCATGCGGCGCTCAGCCTCGGTGATGGCAAGGCCGCACATGGGCAGCGCGGGGCAAGCCATCGACAGACGCGTCAGCGGGTCTATCTGCGAAACAGAAGAAAGGGCCGGCAACAAAAACGGCACAGCAGTGTTAACATTAAACGACCGAGAGAAAGAGACAGAGAGGTCCATCAAGACCCGGGATAGTCGCTTGGCGGGGGTGGGGTGGGGGGGGGGGCAGGGTACTCATGTACACGCATGCCGTAGCCATTAACCTCGCATCCCTATAATGCCGGGACGGAGCGATATGCCGGGCTTCGCCATCCTAGGTTACGATTCACAAGGATGAACCAGAAGAAGCTGGTCATCATCGTTGAGTTAGCAGCGGGGGGGGCCTGACATGACTCCTGTTGACCGGGGATGGGACTCGTCATGACAACCGCGGCGAAGCACACGCAACCAAAAGCAACGTAGGGGTAGCAAAACATGCCATTTACATGTAGGGCTATACTATTATTAACATACTGTAGTTCCAAACGAGAAACAGGGGCCGACACAGGCCTCGGGGGCATCAACAGCCACAGCAACAGCCACAGCTAGCGGAACACCCAATTGCTGCCGGCGCAAACGACGACACAACCCCTCGACTCTCTCCCGCCGCCACAGAGCGCGCATCCACAATAAAGGTCCCGATCATAGTGCCGATATGCGCCCAGAGGCTTGACCGGCACCATTCAAAGTACAGAATGGCTTGGGTGATTAAGTCTGTGCCCACCGCACTATGCCGGGCACCAGCACTGTGTGGAACCGCTACCGCACTACCCCACCTGCTCGATCGGCTTGACACCGTAGCTGTTCAGGATCGCCTCTACCCCCTCCCTCTGCTCCGGCGAGATGTCCCTCAGGATGACCGACTGGTTGGGGGTGCACACCATGGTCAGGCGGTACTTGTCCACCAGGGCGCGGAGGGCGCTCTTGAGCATCACCCCGGTCTCTGTGCGGTCGATCACTCGCCCGTTCTCGATGTTAACCTGGCGGTAACCAAAGCGTGCAGTTGGCGTTTTTCGGGGGGGGGGGGG